ATACACGTACCCCGGGTTTCATTTTTGCCTTATGCCTATCAATTATATGATATTCCAAAATTCCTAGTTAATGTTAATTCGTTTTTGTGGAATTTTTACATACTGGAAGGATTTAAAGATGTACTCAAGCTTGCAAACGAACATTCTACTCCTAACGATTCTCATGTGAAAAGTGCGGGAGTATGCGTGAATCATAATAAAACTTCAAAATATTTTGCAGTAGTTCTGCGCATTACTGCAGCGCAGGCTTTCTACGCATTACGTAAAGGAACAAAAATGGGAACGCAGCATATATATTAAGTCTCAAGGTCTCCGTAAGAAACACCGCACTGCGGTACTTCTGCGCAAAATAGCAGACAACTCGATTGTCAGTTCTTAACACGAAAAACAACAACAACAAAAAGCAGTTGCTATGACAACATTGAGTTTACGTTGTGCAACTGAGTAATGTGGAATAAAGCCATTCAATAGAACTGAAGGGTTTCCCCTGTATAAACTAATACATATTAAGTGCACAAACACAAAGAATAAGAACTAAACAGTGTTTTCGGCAGCATACAATGACACATTAACAGTTAACATCACATTATTATTTCTGGTTGTGCGTTCAAAATACCATAGGTGAGAGGGTCACATATGCAGGTGGAGTGTTACAGTAAGTTAATCCAGGCTGACGTACAACTACTTTCAAAACCAAAGTCGCACTCCTTCCACTTTACTGAATTAAAAAAATTATCATCGTTCGTTTATCGATATTTTAACAAATGGTAATTAAGATAGGCAGCTTGCATTTTTATGACGTAAGCCGGTAAATAATGATGCTCGCAGTGACGATCAAAACAATGATCTGGTTTGAAATAATAATAATACAAAAGTCAAATAAAAGACGCACATTAGTTCCATAAAACACAAAGTAACATGATTAAAGACAATTTTAATTTGCGATATAACTACATAGTAGGTATGAAAGGTTACCACAGGAAGTGACGTCGAAGACATCATTCAGTGTTGGATTTATTTTCTAGAAAAATACTTAAGCCTTAATTTCACAAATCAAATAGGATGTTAAGACTACTGGTCAAAGGCACCGACTTGTTAAAAACTTGTGTGGGAGGAGGGGAGGTCAAAAAGGGATGAGGTTTTTTAGCTATCTTTGTCATAAATTACCAGATTAACAAAAATGTCTAAATGAAATCATATCATATCATACCTTATTATGCTTATTATAGATATTAAGTTAACACATCTAAATGAAAAAGGTCATCACATTTATAATTCACACCACCATTTACACTACGTTGACAAAAACGTAAGTAAAACACAAATTATCAAAGCGATAAAAATCAAAATATAAATCACGTCTTTGGAGGATAATATGTCATTCAAATAATGAAATATCATTATAAATAATACAAATTTACCAACTCATTGCTTTTGAACGCCCTTAAGTTACATTCAAGACACTTACAATAATGTTAATTTAAAAACGTACAAATAAAACTACACAGCGTGGTCACAAGTAAATAGACACAACCTTTTCAGAAAAAATGAAATTTTTCAGCC